CAGTGAGGCCCTGTCTCTAAATAAAATACAAAATAGGGCTGAGGATGTGGCTCAGTGGTTGAGTGCCCCTGAGAGTTCAATCCCTGGTACCAAAAAAAAAAAAAAAAAGTACTAGCAATAAAGTGAAAGTGACAGATGTGAGGAATGTGAAAACAGGTGACAATGCTGGTTGTACACACCTACCCAGTTGTCTTGAACCTATCTGTCAATCTCATTGGCTTGGAAAGGTGTCAATTCAGGATATTTCCTGAGGAATTCAGAGATCTAGGAACTGGGGAGGGGATGGGGAGCAGCCTGGTGGTCCAGCTCTTGCTAGGCATGGGAGAATCCCTGGGTCTATCCCCAACACCTCAAAGAAAGAAAAAAAAACAAACAAATTCGGAGGCCTAGAATGTGACAGGACACATCTGACAGGCAATGAGCTTGGGAAGTTACTTGTTCTGGGGGTTCAAGATCCATATCTCATGCCTCTGTCATGGGATCCCGAATGCCCCCAGTGGTTTTCTTCATGCCTTGAGCCTTATCTCACTCAGCGCAGTGGCCTCCCAGAATTCTCCTGCCCAGGCTGACTGTGCTTCTTCAAGACTTCATTTAGCTTTAGCTGCCTTGGGGGTCTGCAAACCTTTCCTGGAAAAGGTAAGAGTATGGGCTGGGGATGTAGCTCAGCTTGTTTTGCATGCACAAGGCCCTGGGTTTGATCCCCAGCACCATGGGGGGGGGGGGATATGGTAAGAGTAAATGGTTTGCCAGCTCTATTATGAAAACAAAAGCAGTCAAAGACAAAATATAGACAAAGGAGGAGTGTGGCTGTGCTTCAATAAAACTTTATCGACACTGAAATTCAGACTTCATATATAATTTTCACTTGTCAAAATAATATTTTTGATTTTTTTCCCCCCAACCATTGAAAAATGTAAAAACCTGGGCTGGGGCTGAGGCTCAGTGGTTGCCTAGCATGYCCAAGACCCTGGGTTTAATTCCTAGCACTGCAAAACAAAAGGTAGAATTATAAATGTAATTTTTTAAAAGAAAATATAGAAACCAGCTGAGTGTGGTGGTGCATGCCTGTAATGCCATTGGCTCAGGAGACTGAGACAGAGGATCTCGAGTTCAAAGCCAGCCTYAGCAACAGTGAGGCACTAAGTAATTCATTGAGACCCTGTCTCTAAATAAAATACAAAATAGGKCTGGGGATGTGGCTCCTGATTGAATGCCYCTGAGTTCAATCCCCAGTACGAAAAAAAAGTAGAACCATTCTTTGCCCACATAGAAAAACAAGCAACAGTACCCCTAGCTGCAGGAGTTGGTTTGTCAATTCCTGCTTCAGGGACCACCCTCCAACCGCAGGTGGGACCTGATCAGGAATAAGGGATATCTTGAGAAACTCTATGGTTGTAAGTGCTGTTGGGAATAAGGGTTCAACAGTACTAAGGTGTTTGAAACCTGTCTTTAAAGACGCTCTTAGTGGTCTCCCTCACCCTTAAGGTTATAGTTTCTCAGCAGGGTATCTGCAGCCTTCTGAGACCTGATCCCCACCTTTGGGGCCACTCTCAGCAGCTCTTACTCACTCAAAGATTCCTGAGCTATGGTACCTTTGTTGGTGTTTGTGCCTTTCCATGCTTTTCCTTCTCCTGGGAGCAGATCTGTACCTTGGCCTGGCTAGCCGTGGCCATAAGCCTGCCTTCTTTACCAGGTTGACTGGGGTCTCTGCTGTTTCTCCTATACCTCCATGGTTCACACTCAGCTGGCCACAGCCCTGGAGGGCTGAGGGTTCCCTGCCCGGTGTATGTAGCTTTATATCCCCAGGCAGAACTCAGGGTGGGGGCTTAGGGTCAATGAGTCAAGAGGGATAAAGCTTGTGAGCACAGGCAGAGGTCTCCTGAAAGGCTTCCTCAAAGAAAAAAATGGAATTTCTGTACTGGTATGATTTGAGATTTTCCCAATTTAGAAAGTCCTCAGGGGCTAGGGTTGTGGCTCAGTGGTAAAGCGCTTGCCTAGCATGGGTTAGGCCCTGGGCTCGTTCCCCAGCACCACATAAAAATAAATAAATAAAGACATTGTGTCCAACTATAACTAAAAAATAAATATTAAAAAAAAAAGAAAGTCCTAAGGAAATCTCTGAGGAGTCTCTAGTCCTGACAATGCTATGTGTTCAACTCAGGAGAAGCCCATTTACAGGAATAGTTCCTGATCTGCTCTGGACCTAGGTCCTGGGAGGGGAGACCACATTTCCCATTCCACTTCTGGAGTGGGAAGGGCTCTGAGCTGARTGACCAGGTGGTCAGTCACTGACGCTTTTATTTTCCTAGTCATAAATGTGCAAACTCACTTTCACCTGCTCACAGGTCAGTGAGATGTCCTGACTGCTCTTGGCAAATCATGAAACTCAGGGCCTGGTTCAAGCACTCTACCACGGAGCTAAACCACCAGCCCAGGCAATGATTTTTTATTAGCTAGGACCATTCTGCTTAGAGGGAGAGGGCATGTTRAGGGAGGCTTCTCCTGACTTGGTTTGTTTTTTTTTTTTTTTTTAATTGTGTCCTACTGTGTTGCCTAGGCTGGTCTCACACTTCAAGATTTGCAGAGGCTCAGCCTCCTGAAATGCTGGGACTACTTGTACTACTAGCTTTGGTTTGGGATTTTTTTTTTTTTTTTGGTACTGAGCTTTAAAAAGGACGAGGTGGGAGGGGCCACTTTACCATTGAGCTACAGCCTCCCTAGCCACTCCCCTCCCCCACCTTTCTTTTTTGGTACTGGGGATTCAACCCCGGGTGCTTTTTACTACTCCGGAGTCACAAGCCTGGTCCTTTTTATTTTGAGACAGGATTTCACTAAATTGGTGAAGCTRGCCTCGAACTTGTAAATCTCTTGCCTCTCCTCGCAAACTGTTGGGATTACAAGCTTGTACCACCACCCTGATTAGCCCCAGCTCTTTTTTTTATTTTGTATTTTGAGACACGGTCTCACTAAGTTGCAAAGGTTGGCCTCCTCCTTGTGCTTCTCCATCTGAGCTCGGAAATTGCTGGAATTACATCATGTGCCAACGTGCCCTGGCTGACTTGAGATTTTTTTTTGTTAGAATTTTTAATATTTATTTTTTAGTTTCTGGTAGACACATCTTTGTTGGTATGTGGTGCTGAGGATCGAACCCGGGCCGCACGCATGCCAGGCTAGCGCGCTACCGCTTGAGCCACATCCCCAGCCCCTGACTTGAGATTTTTATTTATTTTTTATGGTTCTTGGAATCAAACCTATGGGCCAAGGGCTTCACGCATGCTAGGCAAACGCTCTATCATTGAGCTACCTCCCCAGCTCTTGGCTTGAGATTCTGATCAGGAATAGAGCACCGTGGGGCCCTCCTGGCAGAAACACCCAGTGCCCCTTTCCACATTCATTGACTTCGCCCAACCATGGACTTCTTACAGACCAAGAAGGATGATAAGAACAGGTAAAATGGGAGTGGAGATGGCGGGGTTGATTAAATGGAGTGGATAAGGAAGAAGAAATCAAGGATCCTCATTTGTTCATCAGAATTCAACAATAACTAAGGTGTATTAGGGAAGGTGTACCATGTGCCAGGATGGGTGAGGAAGGTGTGGGTGGGGGTAACCTTTTCAAGTATTCCAGGGGTAGACAGAGTGGGTTAAGAATGGAACACATGGACATCTAACAGTCCTCGGAGAAGGGGGCTATTCTCTCCTAAATACGTCAGGCTTCCAGATGACACCTTGGAAAGGCAAGGACAGCTTGCCAGCTGGAGCGCTGGCACAGGCAGGCTCAAAGCCTAAAGGGCTCGGGCTCCAGGGGGCTGAAGAGAACTTGGTGCAGGCCCGCCCTCCGGCCACCATCTTCAAACTATCTCCTAGGACTCCTGCAGCTTCGTTGATGTCCCTGGAGATCCCCATCCCCACAGATCCAAGCAGCTGCAAGAGGGAAGAGAGAGAAAACCCAAAGCTGCTGGAGAAACAGCTTGACGTGCCCGTGTAGGGGGTGCATATGTCCCTAAGCTTTGTGTACTTTCGTGAACGCAGAGGCTAGGAAGGTCCTTCCGGTAGCGACGCGGTCACTGAGAGCTGCCCGCAGAGCCATCCYAGCTGCCTATGCGCTCTGTGACCGACCGATCGGGGGATCTTTATGCCTATCCCATCCCCGAGGTAATACTCCCCCAACGYCCCGCGTGGAGAGAGGATCCAGCAGGCGACAGCCACAGTAAATGCGACAGGGACAAACACGCCGCTAAACTAGCACCTCAGACACCGCAGCGGGAGAGGCGGAGCCTCGCGGCGGTGGGGGCGGGCGGGGGTGGGCCCGCTGAGACAGGCTTGGAAACTGCTGGAAGTGCCGCATGACCGCTGCTGCCGCTCCTTCCGCCGCATGCAGGCAAAGAGTCCCCCTCTGGCCCGGGCCCCGCGCCCTCCCTGAATCGGAACTACGCCCCGCCCTGAGCTGCCGGCCTTTCTGCTGCTCCCGCGAGAGTGGGGGGTCTCGGGGGTGCTCAAAGTTGGACCCTGAATGCCACATCGTCCGTGATCTGGACGTGAGATGTGTAGGAGAGACTCTAGGAAGATCAGCTTTAGGAAGGGCAGTGGGGATGATTAGCTGTCTCTTCTCCTTTCGATGTCCACAGAGGCCCGGCCTCTTGAGTGTATAAATACCAGTTCAGAGGATTTTACGGAGTTGATGGGATCCTCGACCGTAGACCCGCTGTTTAGGCCCTAAAAACACTCCCGATTCCTCATCCTGGTGGGGTCATGTCCCCGATCTGCAGACACGGGGCTGAGAAAGGAAGCAAACGGGTGAACGGACAGATACTCCATCTGGAAGCAGAGCCGGAGGCCGGCTGCTCGGGCTCCTCCCCGCCCCGTCCCTGATTTCTGGCCATGACGTCAGGTGGGCGGGCGGCGGCAGGTGCGAGCGGACAGGCGCCCTCCTTTAAGGCGGAGGGATCCAGGGGAGGGCGCCTGGACCGTGCTTCGCCTTATATAGAGCGACTGGGGGCACACGGTAGCTCTCTTGAGTCACCCCCACGCTGCCTAGGTGTCGCGAGCGAGTCGCACACTCTTCGGGCCCACCCTTCTCCTAACACTCGCAGTCCTTTCTCTCTCAAGGTAAGGCCGCAGTCTTCTGTCCGACTTTTCTCCTGCGGGGGCTCGTCTGCGGTGTTTGACCCTCTGACCTTTTGAAGGCCAGTCGCCGCCGTGCTGGGGCGGTCTGTGGGAAAGCTAGTTTTCGGGATGGTACGTTCGGGCTCTTGAGTTTCGTCTATTGTGCTTGGGCGGCGGGCGCTCTCCAGGCGGCGACCAGCCGTGGGCGAGAGGGGTGGCGGAGCGCGGCCGGGGGGGGGGGCGGCCGCACGTGGTGGCCGCGCCGGTACGGGACGCTGCCATGTTTGCTGCCCACTTCCGGACGCGGTTGTGGGGGGCCGGAGCGTGGTGGGGCCTCGCGTGCGCGGGGTGACTCAGCACAGCCCGGCGTGGTTGGCTTTGTCACCTGTCTCGCTGGAAACGTTTTCCAATTCTTTCGGGTTGTGTGAGGGTGTGCCACGAGGGAGGAACGTCTTGAGTCCTCAGTCTGCTGGGGACCACCGCGATTTTTCGTGATTCTCTTGCAGTCCCGGTGAAGGAGGAGGGGCGGGGGAGGCGCTGGAAGATTCATGGGTCCCTCCCCCGCTCCTCCCCGAGAGCTGAGATTGTTCTGGAAGCTTCTGGAGCCTGGCGCCCCGCCCCATTGCCCGGATGCTGGGGCGATGGGAGGGTGCACGGCGGCGCCCCCTCCTCGCATGGCCTCGTCCGACGCATGTCCGGCAGTGACGAGGGTCGGGCGACGGCTTTGGCCACCATCTTGGTTATATGCCCTGTTAGCAATGACGGTGGAGCTTTTCCTCTTTGGTTCTTTGTCCTGCTTTAATTGCCCTTTGGGCGGCTACCCCATCGATCTCAGGTTATCCTTCCCTGCAGAGTGGAATAGCACATTTGGTGGACCTTGGAGATACTAAGGGGCAGCTGTTAAAAATCAGGGCGCCTTTTGCTCGATTTGTCCTCTCCTAATTAAAAAAAAAAGACTGTTTTCACATCAAAATGTACATGGGGGTTAACTTGGCATTCTCAAGATACCTGTGATGCCCCCCAGTATTCTGAATTTCTCACAAGGTACCCGATGGTGCCGAGGCTGGGCTCTGAGATAATCTTACAAAAAATGTCTGACTTTCGTATTTGGTTGAAGGATTTAGGTTTTTCCTGGGTTGGCTTATTATTTAGTGTGTAGCCTAACATCTTGAAAGAAATGGTGTTTTCAGTTTCTTGGGAATAGACAGTACTCTGCGCAAGGCAGTTTGAACTCCAACCTTTTAAGGTTTTAATTGAACCCATGAACCTTGAGGATTCTTAAGTATGGAGCCATTGCATGTGTGTTCCTTTGTAACTGTTGATCATCTTTATTTTAGATGCCTGAGGAAGTGCACCATGGAGAGGAGGAGGTGGAGACGTTTGCCTTTCAGGCAGAAATTGCCCAACTCATGTCTCTCATCATCAATACCTTTTATTCCAACAAGGAAATTTTCCTTCGGGAATTGATCTCTAATGCTTCTGATGTAAGAGTTTGAACAAGTCCCCACAGTAGTTTTGTGTGACCCCCCCACACACTCTTTAGAGCACTTCAGAAGAGGAAGAAGGGATAGATTGAAGTGGTGGGAGCTGCAACTGTTTGAGATAAATCAGCAGCTGTTCCAAAAAGATTTGCCTTATTCTGGGTGGCTATCACACTTGAAAGGAAGACACCAGAGAAGTGGATAATGTAACTGTTGGTCTGAAGATCTAAGGGATAGCAGAATTGAGGCTATATGGAAGTAGAAAACCAAGATTTGCGGGGGTGGGGTGGGGTGGGGTGGGGGGGTGAAGAGATGGACTATAAAAAAAAGATGTGTCATTTCATGTTTACAGGCCTTGGACAAGATTCGCTATGAGAGCCTGACAGACCCTTCCAAGTTGGACAGTGGTAAAGAGCTGAAAATTGACATAATCCCCAACCCTCAGGAAAGGACTCTGACTTTGGTGGACACAGGCATTGGCATGACCAAGGCTGATCTCATAAACAACTTGGGAACCATTGCCAAGTCTGGAACTAAAGCATTTATGSAGGCTCTTCAGGCTGGTGCAGACATATCCATGATTGGGCAATTTGGTGTTGGATTTTATTCTGCTTATCTAGTGGCAGAGAAAGTGGTTGTGATCACAAAGCATAATGATGATGAACAGTATGCTTGGGAGTCTTCTGCTGGGGGATCTTTCACTGTGCGGGCTGATCATGGTGAGTTGGCTTTCTGTATGGAAGTAGCTGGGTTAGAATTCTTTGGAAGAAGAGATAGAAATCTTGAGTATGATGTTTGTGGAGCAGTTTCTTTTTTTTCTTTTTCTTTCTTTTTTTTTTTTTTTGGTACCTGGGATTAAACTTGGGCACTCAACCACTGAGGCACATCCCTAGCCTATTTTGTGTTTAGAGATAGGGTCTCACTGAGTTCCTTAGTGCCTCGCTTTTGCTGAGGCTAGCTTTGAACTCATAATCCTGGATTTTTGGTGTGCACTACTGCTCCCGGCATGGAGAGTTTCTTTTAAAATCATTGATGCTTTTAGCCTCACAGCTTTATACTTTATTGTGATTGATTGTTTCTTCTAGGTGAGCCCATTGGCCGGGGTACTAAAGTCATTCTCCACCTCAAAGAAGACCAGACAGAGTACTTGGAGGAGAGGCGGGTCAAAGAAGTAGTGAAGAAGCACTCACAGTTCATAGGCTATCCAATCACCCTTTATGTGAGTACCAACCAGGCTGGCAGCCCATCTGCACTGAGTGTCTGTGGTTGTGGAGTTTTGTGGTCCCTGGCTTTGTTTTCCTGGTGTTGTGTTTTTCACGCTTAACCACTATGTTTGGTACTTTAGTTGGAGAAGGAACGAGAGAAGGAAATCAGTGATGATGAGGCAGAGGAAGAGAAAGGTGAGAAAGAAGAGGAAGATAAAGATGATGAGGAGAAACCCAAGATTGAAGATGTGGGCTCAGATGAGGAGGATGACACTAGTAAGGATAAGAAGAAGAAAACAAAGAAGATTAAGGAGAAATATATTGATCATGAAGAACTGAACAAGACCAAGCCCATTTGGACCAGAAACCCTGATGACATCACTCAGGAAGAATATGGAGAATTCTATAAGAGCCTAACCAATGATTGGGAAGACCACCTGGCAGTCAAGGTGAGAAACCTTATATGTGGGCTCAGCTGGAGAGAAACAGGTAGAAGTGTGTATTGGTAGATAGTAGAGTCCACAGTGAACTTGCCCAACTGGTTGGTAGCTGAGACTGAGAGTCAATGGAGCCATGTGAGTTCACTTACTAGTGACCCTGCCACAGTAGAGAGATTCTGTTCTCCGGAATGACTTCACTTTTGTCTTTTAATAGAAATCTGGGTAATGTCGATGGCAGCCTTACACATAACAGGGTTCTGATTGGAGAACTGTTCTCTTAATTCAACAAGATTATATATAGCTAGGACAATGTAAGATTTATTGGCTTTCGGGTTCAGCGTTTTTTTTTTTTTTTTTCCTCCTTATGGAGTCTCTTCAGGTATGTAGCATTCCAGTTGTAGGTGCTTTGGTGTGACTGAAAAGCACTCTTGTCCTGAAATGTTGGGTTTTTCTCCTAGCACTTCTCTGTAGAAGGTCAGTTGGAATTCAGGGCATTGCTGTTCATCCCTCGGCGGGCTCCCTTTGACCTCTTTGAGAACAAGAAGAAGAARAACAACATCAAACTCTATGTCCGTCGTGTGTTCATCATGGACAGTTGTGATGAGCTGATACCAGAGTATCTCAGTGAGTGTCTCCTGTGTCTGTTTTTGGGGGTTAAGTCTTTTGAGATCTGCAGTGTTCTCCTGGRATTGTAGTCTGAGGAGGGTAATTGTAAGTGAAGGTTCAGGGAGCAAAAGAGCCTTCTGCTTGAATCTGGGTGACCAGTTTGGGTCTAGTTGTTTGTATTGAATTTTCTGCCATTTGATTSCAGATTTTATTCGTGGTGTTGTTGACTCTGAGGATCTGCCCCTGAATATCTCCCGAGAAATGCTCCAGCAGAGCAAAATCTTGAAAGTTATTCGTAAAAACATTGTGAAGAAGTGCCTTGAGCTCTTCTCTGAGTTGGCAGAAGACAAGGAGAACTACAAAAAATTCTATGAGGCATTCTCTAAAAATCTTAAGCTTGGAATCCATGAAGATTCTACTAATCGGCGACGCCTTTCTGAGCTGCTGCGCTATCACACCTCTCAGTCTGGAGATGAAATGACTTCTCTGTCAGAGTATGTCTCTCGCATGAAGGAGACACAGAAGTCCATCTATTACATTACTGGTGAAAGCAAAGAGCAGGTGGCCAACTCTGCTTTTGTGGAGCGTGTGCGGAAACGTGGCTTTGAGGTAGTATATATGACTGAGCCTATTGATGAGTACTGTGTACAGCAACTCAAGGAGTTTGATGGGAAGAGCCTGGTCTCTGTGACCAAGGAAGGCCTGGAGCTACCTGAGGATGAGGAGGAAAAAAAGAAAATGGAGGAGAG